GAAAATGATTCTGAATGATCCGGTATAATGAAAGATAGGTCTATCTGAAGTCTTTCTATGTGTTGCATAGATCGGCACAAGCGTAATATATTCTTGCAACACAAAGTTGATATAGAGCATAATGACGACTTATCGTGACTTCATTAAGAAAATGGTTTTTTTTTTTTGTCTGTTTTAAAATAACATTACAAATTCTGTACGGATGGTGTAATCAATTATCACATGGTCACATTACTGTCGGTGTTCCGATATACCTTGTCAAAACCTAAAATTCTTCTTTAAAGCAAATTCATATATAAACGGTATGCGGTCGTATTTTTATAAATCATTGCAATCGAATTTACACAAATTTTTGCAAATATTTGGAATAAATTTTCTTTTCTTCCTTTTTTTTAGTTGAACAGTAAATCAATCTAAAGTTAAAGAAACAAAGCACGTAAAAGGTTAATATTAATGTGACAAACGTGTCTGAAAAGAAAAGTGAAATTCATTGTCTATACGTATAACGAGCGTTTTCTTTTTATTATTCATCGCACTCCGAAAATAGAGTTAAGATTAGCTTGTATATATAAGGCGAACAAACATTTGTATGATAAACTTGAACTGGATTTTCATATGCGAGCACCGTAAGCAAGCAAAAAACATGCATAATATTCTAAAATATTAGGTAACAAAACGAAAGAAAGCACCGACATCAGACGAACAAGCATATACATTGAGATGTGTTTTTATTCAAATCGAAAATAAAAAAAAAAAAATTGATAAAAATTTATAAAAAATTCAACTCAGGTACATCACATTATAGGAGTCCGCTCTTTTCTATCGTTTCATAGCGAAGATATTTTAAAATTTGAAGAAAACGTTACTTACGTCAGAAAATAAAATTAACTTTTCAGAGAAAATCTGGGATAAATAGATAAACGTTACCGTTATCTTAATTTTTTTCTATTACTTTTCAGTAAATAAGTGCTTGATGGGACATCAAATAAAAAAAAAAACATTAGAATGTGAACCATATTTTCGGAAAAAGGTTTATATATCATGAATGAGATACGTAGCAACAGAACGAGACTCTTTCAATGTCATATTCAAGCGACGTAATATGTAAACAACTTTATTTAGTAGCTTCACTACGTGAAAAATGTGCGATTAAAGAGTAATTTTTAAAAGATGAAACCGCAAAAGAGGACAACGAAAGCCTCGAAAACCGTTAAAAGAAATCTGCTCCGTCTGAAAAAATGCTTAGATACTGAATAACTGAACTTAAATGCACTTTTAAAAGCTAACATGAGGCTATAGTGCCAGACAGGATAGCAACATTTTTAACGACCTAATAATGAAAGTGTACGGAATACCAGTGGCCATAAGCACCTCATAAGCTTCGTTATATGCGAAAAATTGGATGCAAAGGAACTTCGCGAACGCGTTAACACTCTAATGAAAAGTTTGGATATGTTCAAGGTCATTTCTCTGAGTTTTTTAATGTTACCTAACTACGATCAAATATGGATTCGTCTCCACCGCCATTACTCATCGATGGTTTTTAAAACACTAGACCTCTACAAGGCATACTTTATCGAATTTGACCAGATCTACGAAGAACAAAATCAAGGAAAAAAGAACGATAAAGCCAACGTGGAGGAGAGAAAATTGATTCTGATCTCGATTATGCATCAGTTCATCCATCGAACATTGCATAAGCAGAATTGTGTGACTTAGGATAAGAACTAATTTCGCCAGCAGCGCATTTTTCAGACTTAGCTTAGACTCAGAGTATTCTATATACTTTTTCGTCAAAAATGGGACCCCACCTAAGAGTGAGGTTATGATTACGTATTGGCGAATGTCAACTAGGGATACAGCCAACACCTTCAATCTAGGCGATAAGACGGAGCTGTAATGTACTAGTTTTCTTTGTCTTTTTCTATATACACATGGAGCAACACGCGCCCATGAATAACATGGCTGAAGGTCGCTCAAGAAAAATGATAGTAAAGTGATTGAAAATATGACGCTAACGAAAGATAACCTTCCCTTAAATTTTTTGCTTGTTATATGCGAACCTAGGGATCGAGTTTCACTTTAAATTGCTAAGATCAAGTGTGACGATGTAGGAGAAGATTCAGAATAACGACATCAGCAGTTACACCGGCGGTAGTTGTATCGTTTTCGTTTTTTCATGCTTATGGACAATCCATATATATTACCAGGTTATCGAGAGTGAGTAAGTGTTGAGAACACGATGAGGGAAATTAATTACAAGTGAACAATCACAAGCGATTGGTGGAAGAAAATGACTGATTATAAGAGGATAAGAGAATTATATTCGCTCTAAGATAAAAACTTATTAACGCCTTTAAAGTCAATTGACCAACATACGCATCGAGTATTTGGATAATGCTGCAAACTATTTAGTTGCAACAGAGTTGCAGTTTTCTGATGGAGCCTATAAATTACTCCTTTTACACGTGTCGGTGCCTACTGACAGCTTTGTCTGATTTAACCTATGATGAAAGCTGAGAGGAAAATGTGTCCCGACTGTGAGGGGACCAAAAAAGGAATATATCAACAGTGCTTCCAAGTTTTACGTTGATTAAAAATGCGTATTTCATCTGCTTTAAAGAATCGCTTACCTATATTTCTGAAACAGAAACATAAATATCTTATATCCCCCCCCCCCCTTTAATAATAATTGTATGAGTTTTGCGATGAGTTTGTTTTTGAAAATTTCGCATGACATTGACTGATATTTAGCATAACAAATAAATTGTCGTTGACGTTTGCAAATTTGCTTAAGAAAACTTGAAGCCTAACGATATAATAACATAGAGATCCAAAAACGTTTCTTTGCGAAGAAGTGCAAGCACATGCAAGCAATTTACCCGTATGGAGAAAATGCGAATAAGAGTATCAACCAAATATTTACAAAGAAGTGAAAAGAAAAGCAAAAAAGCAAATGAGAAAGTCATATCCGCCTTGATCCGAATGATGAGTACCCTTCACCTTAAAACGCCTTACGTTCTCTTCGAACTTTTAGACGACTGCAGTAACTAACACACCTTAGACCCATAATCGTTAAAGGTCATCAAACAGGTTTTACCAAACAACATATCGAATTTTTCCTTTTGTTTTTTTATTAAACCACTATTTGGCTGGTGTCAACTGACTTGTGAGCAGATTACAGCTCTTTTATCTTTCGTATGAAATTATTTTATAAATATATGATCATAATTTATCAATATTTACGATTTTTAAAAAGCTTGAGTATAAATTCATTGCAGACGAGCGACTTCTTTTTCAACTAACATTACTTAAAATGAATATAATAAATAACATCTTTAAGACACATGCCTGGGTGCTACAAACCGAATGAGAAAATTAATTTATCTCGTTAGTACACATAATAGTTAAATGCGTACAAGTGCATATGAATATAAAAACGGCTTTTCAAGTTAAGCTGAAGACTAAATAAGAAAGTTATAACACATTGGTCAGTAAATCCCGGGAGTAGAGCAAAAATAACATTTCGTCGCGAGTATTTCAAAATTGAACTTTATCGAGCGACATAGTCTTCTTCAAGAGTGACACAATAAGTCCACAATGCTTCTCTATAATGTCGATGCCCTTTTGTAAAACAAATTCTGAGGATTTTCAAAACGATGCAATGACTTCATCATTTGATATAAATCTTTATCTGTGATATATACTTTGGGGATCTACAAATAGATAATAATTGCTGGGATCCAGATCCCAGCAAGGCGAGACCTGTTTCATGCCTTAAACATTTCATATTCTCGTGACCACGGCCGCGATGAACCTTTGTGTAACGTTTCTTACAACTGTCAGGGCAAACAAACTCCCCATGAGCGCCTTGCTCCTTTCAATTATTTTGCAAAACTTTAAGTATTCGCAACTCCCATAAATATCGGATCATAAATCATTACTATCTTTTCCCGTATATTTTCCATGTCCGCGGAGAAATATCGAAATACCTGCAACCATTTTCAGCTCACTAGTGCTTCTTACGCCGATAATAATTTGATACAATTATAAGAAATTATCTTAAAGAAGATTCGCATGAGTGACCGAAGGCGAGGAATCTCGACTAACAACTCAATGGTCGTAGGTTCGAATCTCAAGTGCGGTACAATTTTTAATAAAAGCCGATAGTCTTAGATACTAGTGCTTTAATAAGAGATCTGTCTTAGAATTTATTTCTCTGGCGATATTAAAAATAATAATAATATCTTAAAGAAGAATAACCTTTTTCGTACACAACTCTTGGCTTATCTAAGGGAAGTTCCTCGAGCCGGCATCATATGACAAGTAACGACCTTTGCTTTATCATACTTGCTTTTACCAAAATTACACCCGATGTCTTGATTTTTACGGCCAGTAGAGTGACAACAACAAACATCACGCAGACACACGGACGGACGGACATAGCTAAATCTATTCAAAATTTTACACTGACCAAAAGTATGTATACTTTATGGGATCTCTGAAGTTTCATTTTGGGTGTTGCCAGCATTATGCAAAATCCTCCATCCTTCGGAAGCAGGCACGAAACCAATAACAACATAGGGCAACAAGAGGCCTAAACGAAAGTCTTTAGTAGAACTTGTCTCGTTTTTCTCTGCTTCCGAAGCTTAAATGACCATTTCAAGGAAGAAAGTTTTAAATAAATCGAAAGCATAAAATAAAAGAAAATTCACTAAAGACCATAGCCCAGTTAGTGTCGAAAGAATGTTCGCAGGATAGAGTGAAGCTCTGCCGTACTTGTACTGCGAGAAATATTTTAAAATTCGATAAATGTATTTTATTTGATAATTTCATATATTTCTTATATGTGATTTTATTACCGGCAGCGAAGTACAACTATATTCTTTTTATTCATATGTGTATGCGATGATGAGCATTCAAGATTCAACTTAAGATTAAGCATTTTTTGATTTATTTCTTTCATTTGTCTATAATAAATTTTAATTTGATATACTTACCTTTTGAAAATGAGTACAAAATGTAATTAAAACGTCTTTTTTCCTTTTTTTTTTTTTAGAATATGAAAGTTGTATTGGTATGGTATTCAAGTAAAAAAATTATATATTTCTTCGATTTCGATTTAAATATTCACCAATTTTTGCACATTTTACTTTTTACTACATTACCAAAAAAAAAAAACAAAAAAAAAATTGAATTAGATATCACTTCCTTTAATATTTTATTTTCAAAATAAAGAACATCAAGGGCAAGAGAGAAAGAATTAAGTTTAGAGCATCAAGTATCAGATATCAGATACCCATTCGGAGAGCTTGAGAGTTAACAAAAAAAAAAAAAATAAAAAAATAAAAATAAATGGAAAGAAAATGAGAGCATTCATCTAAATATCCATTGCATAGGTTTTGGTATAAAACTTTACGCATTTAGTGTGTTTCTCTTTATTTTTTTTTTGCACTAATAATAAAACCAGTTATTAAGCTGCACACTGTAGCAAAAGTAACAACAACTATACGAGAGCTACTCAATTAGAAAGAATATCCATCCATATAATGAAGTTAGTGTAAGCAAAGATTCTATGTGTGAGTGCACAAAAAAAAGAAAAAAAGCCACAAAAGAGAACGTATCATTTTATAGGGGCGTATGGGTATGGATAGGTGCATGTGGTTGTTAACGATTCTTTATTGTATTTATTTTGCATTTTTAATTCAACCATCCATGAGTTTGCCTGACATTCATTGAGCAGACTTCGATTGCACCTGGTTTATGCCTAAACTTTTTTCTTTTTTTGGTTTGTTTTGCTTTGTTTTTCTTCTTTTTCTTTTTTTTTTTTTTTTTTGCTCCTCTGCATTAGTGTGTGTTGCCGCAAATGCGTCAAGTCTTGTTTTTCCATATACAACTGTATTACACACAAATCGACAATATCATCGATGTTTCGGCCTTTCATAAGGTGAGAGGGAATTGTATTTTCATTAAATTATTTAATGTTATATTTAAAAATAAATAATTTTAAATTACAATTTTTATTATGGTGTTAAAAGATTTAATTAAAAAACAAAAATTACTTTTGTTTCCAATCGTTTGGCTTTCTTCGTTTAAATATTTGTTGTTGTCGTTGTTGTTGTTTTCACTTTGTAAAAACTAGATACGGTTTATTCGACACCCATTTAAGCCTTTTGTTTGATTTCACCATCACCATCACCCATCACTTTTTGCAGTTGTTATATTGTCGTAATTTCCTACAAACAATTTTTTGTTTTCTTTTTTTTTTATATTATATATTAAGCGCTAGGGAATGGGGTTATATTGATTTTGTCATTGCCTTTGTTACATTCAAATGTCAAATGCTTATATATAAGTTTGGGCTTATTAATCGAACCTCAACTTTTAAGAAATTATTCATTCAAACCTGTAACCAATACATTTATATATTCGTTTCGTGGCAAAACAGCCCCGAAAACGGTAAGCAATTAAGTCAACATCAGTTTCTGACTTCTTTAAAAGGTAGATGCCAGTCGGTTGACCGAACGTTTTGAAAGTCATATCACAGATTAAAATCCGTGTGAATATCAATCGCTGTGCAATACTGCGACTACTGCATAAGTGCTGCCAACACATTTGAAACGTAATTCAGCTTTTCTCCCTTCGCAAACAGTTTAAAAAGGAATTGCAAGAAAATACATGCTAGGGAGTGAAATCAGTCATTGTAAGCGACACGTCCTCACTGTCGAAATTCCTTGATATCAGACTTTGGGTTAAGTTAAATGAATTCGCTACATCACTTATTGCAATTGAATACGTTTGTTGAAGTTATTCAACATAAACGTTGTGAATTAAAAACCTTGGTTACAATTGGTTGCTTAGGTGAGTGAAAACCAACTTTGAATACGCGTTAACCTAAAGTGGGATCAATACATTTTCATGACTTTTGTAACAATTCTATATTGTATCGATAGGTCCACTATACTCAAAGCGGTTACGGCCACTTTCATACTTTTGAATATACCTATCTTCTTCTATATAAATTTTGCAATAGCTTGAAAACATCAACGTACATAGCATTATCTTGAACATGTTTAGAATTTAACACTTTATTTACAGAAAAAGGTTGTTTGAGGAATATTGTTGTTGTATGCAACATTTTATCCCCTTTCTGTTGTAATTCAATTTCCGATTTCCTGTTTGGTGGCTTCGGTTTTTACTTTGGGGTTTTGATCGATTCCCTAACTTAAATCCTCGGCTTTTATTCAATTAATGGTTACCGGAAATTCGACTTAAGCTAGATATTAGCTCTCTCTCGTGGTCTTTTATTTTACATTTGTAAGATTTTGTTTTGAAGTTTTCCATTTTTTGCTACGTAAACCTAAGTATGCATGTGTGTGCATTGTATATGCGAGATATAATGTTTGTGTGTTGCCTTAACTACTTTTTTGCTCATTTACTTTAAACATTTTTAAGGTTAATGCACTCTCCTCTCTTTATCATTTGTTTTTTTTCTCTTATTCTCTTCCCCTGAATGAAAGAAAATCGTTCGTTGAGGTGTTAAGATTTATTCTTGCTAAAAATTGTTTAGACTTAACCGAAATCTTTTTCATTTAACACATTTAAAAAGGAATTTTTTTTTTTATTTAACTGATACGAATGGCAAACGAGTTTTTTTTTAAATTTTCTATATTCTGGATGCTGGAAAACAGGTTATATAAATAGGTCACTCCACATAGTTTCAACAGGTTACTACAACAACAATGCAAGCACTTCCTGCTTACGTTCTTTTCACAACAATTTCTTTTTGTAGTTTATTATTTTTTCAATTTATTTATATATAAGTGCGAAACGATCTTTACATTTTATTAGCCGCACACGCTGAGTAATGGGCGCTTAATTAAAAATATCAAAAAAATTTAATTGATTGATTTACATTTTTTTTTTTTAATTAGGTATAAATGTTTTCACTCGAGTTATTTTTTGCGTGTACATGCTTCTACAAAGCTACGTTACGTGTGCGTGTTTATGTTGTTATGTGCATCTCATTTTTGCAACTAAAGAAAATAATTTTTCTCTAACTGTGCATATTTTCTCTTCGTTTCACACATATGTCTTAATACTTGTTTCTTTTTGCTTTCTTACCGCTTATATATCGCTTATTCTTTACTAATTAACGCGAGACAATATAAGTTAATACGACAGGCATTTCCATACCTTTTTTACCTTGCCATGCATCTGTGTCTCTTATCAAAGCAAGTAAATATTTCATGCGCGATTTCTTTTAACAATAAATCCCGCATCAAGATTTGTTTTGAACATAACAAAATGACACGACGACAACGTCTCAACGATTCCAACAATAAAATTCAACTAAAAAAAATAGAAAAGCAAAGAAAAGTTTTACGCAAGAGAGCATCCAATTCATACTGAGTTAAATGAAGAAATTTCATTTCAGAGTAAAAGAGTAAACAAAGTTTTACAATAACAATGCGAGTGTTTGACATATGATGCCAAGAATAGAAATCTTTTCTCACATTGAAAGAGTAAACAAAAATTCCGGTAGTAACCGAGTTTTTTAAGTCTAAACTACACTCAACCAAATGCTCTTTCAAACTTGACTTCTTTATCTCGTCTTCTCCCTTGTTTGTTCATCGTATACGATATGAGTGCATAGTTGAATAATTTGGGCACAGAGTAAAATGAAATAAAGAGATGATCGCATAAAAAATGAAAACAGAAAATACCTTTGCAAAGGAAAATATATATATTTCATGTTACAATGTGCGCATATAAGCGAAACTTAAGTACTGAAAAACATAACAGAACGTATAATTAAAAACTCGTGCAATTATTAGAATTAAATGCAGGTAGTTACTTTATGGTTGGTAATATTTTAAAGTACAGGATTCGCACGGTTTCGAAGCAACACTGTTCAAAATTTGTGAACATTATAACGTTTTTCAATTGGTTTTTATTTTCTCGTGATTAGGAGGAGTTTCAAAAAAAAAGTAACATCTGTAATATTTGATGAAAATTAATTTTATGATCGTTATTATTATTTTTTGAATGTATTTTTAATTTTTGTATTTCATCACAATTAATTTCATATTCTTTTCTATCATTACATTGTACATTACATCATAAAATTTCGCATCTTAAGGTCTGGTTCCGACATATTACTTCGAGCTGTCGTATACCACGAATAAATTTTTGATCTAAGGCACACATTTTTTTGATTTATATTACATCTCAGTTAAAATTACGTTATGATACGTCGGTTCGAATAAAAAAACTAAAAGGATTTATAGAGCACGGTTTTTATACAGCGCGATACAAATTAACCGTTTTAAGCAGAAGACGTCCGTAATTATTAAACTTATTGAAGGTGAAAATGTGTATGGTATAAATAAGACAATTAAATATTAAGAATCGATATACTAACTGTGCTCGTAATATTTAGATTAAGGCTTTCTTGATGTCGTCAATATCAATTTCATTGACTGTCATCCATTCTTTCGATTTAGATATACCAATCATTTCTTTCGAAGAGAATTTACAAAGTTTGCCGATGTATGTAACGGTCATTTCCGATCAAATACAAAATCGATTTCACCAAATCGATTTATACTCATCACAGGTTCCAAAAATATGCGTGTATGTTTCTCATGGAGATAGGCTTTATTTCTGTCTTTACGTCTCGGTGTGTTATAAGCCCGAGATGAGAGAACTAACACTATTAACTGAGTAACTGCTTTTTTCAGACTCAACTCTCACGGTAGTGTAAACTTTCATCTTAAAAATGTCGACATAACCCAAATTCGCTACTCTCTCTCTAAGAATTGAATTTATATTAAGACTTTGACTTATTCTAGCGCCGGTTTGTGGCAAGTTGGCTTGTTTTTCGCGGGCTATGAAAGCTTCAGTTTTTCTTCTTATATTGGCAAGCTTTTTGGCATGTCACAATTTCGCTCATTTAATCAAGAAATTTTCAAATTACAAAAGTCTGCAGTAATGTTCTCTTACATTTCATTCATTTTTAATACTGAGCATAATAAAGAGTAAGTAATCAAAGGCAGAATGCGGTGATAAAACGGGGATGCAAAACTTTTGTTTCCCCTAGAAAAATAAAGAGCGATCTTTTTAATATATTCTCGCATGCTTTAATGATGCAAGTTATTTAAATTAAATAAGAATTATTTTACGCTCCTCTCGCGAAAACATGTTCAGTGATTTATTTATTAGTTTAGCTCTTCTGGTCTGTGATGATTGGTATGCTTTTCACAAACACTACTTCAGCTAGTGCGGGGAAAAGGCCGACGAGAAAAAAGTATGTTCTTTAGCACTTTTTGAGTTTGTACTAAGTAAACACATAACACAAATATAGATATTTTTGTTTACTTCTCTGTGATTCTAATTTCAAAATTGGGTAGGATTACGGATTCATTTAAATCCAAATGTGTTGCTTCTTGTGTTTTAATTTATCGTTATGATCGCTTTTACCACCGGTTTAAAATTGAAAATCAAAATGAAAATCCCCTGCATAATCTCTCAATTGGCTTTTGGAAATTATTCCCAGAGCACGAATAAAAATAAAAAAAAAACGGAATAATCTAAACACTCTTAAGAATGTTATCTTTCTATGGAGAGCGCTTGTTATTGATATAAACAAACAAAATATTATTACAATCGCTATTAATGTAAATTAAAAACTTTTGCTTTTTAATTTGTATTAAAAAGAATTTTTAGATAATATACTTTTATAAGTATTAAGTATTAAATTTTTCACATATGAGTTCTTATACCAATACAACTCGATAAAATACCGTGTAAAATGTTTAACTTGAAAAAAAAAAGAAAAAACCAAATTGTAATGAATGCTTAGAAGAAATGAACATGATAATAAAAAAAATTGCCACATTAGAAAAAAACAGTAAAATTACTTGATGTAGAAATAAAAATGTGCAGTCTGTTTCTAGCTCAGCAGAACTTCCAGCGGTGTCCGCATTCATTGCACATAACAAATGTCGTCATAGGTTCATCGGAGGAACGGGTTTGCAATTGATTATATGTGCAGTTGCGTTTCTTACATTTACCGCATTTAAGCAAATCAGTTTTGGTGCCTTGAACGGTCGCTAATTGGGCATCGTTAATCGCTTCTTTAACAAATTTCTCACGAAGTTTCTTCATTTCATCGCTGGCCATTTCTTCGGGTGTCATTTTGGCCAATTGCTGAGCAGTGATCGCACCGCACATGAAATTACCGCGCAGTGTGGGATTTTTCGGGTCTTTAAGATTAGCGACGCGGGAGCGAACACGATTTTTGTACTTCATGTCGGTGTTTCTGAATTCAGCATAAATGGCTTCTTCTAATTCGATAGCCATTTCTTCAGGCTCTGGGCAACCTTCCGGTATATCGCCTGTTTTAAGAGCGTTACAAAGCATTTCCCGGCACTTTAAACGAACGGCATCTGTCATGCCGGACGAGGCAGGAAATGAAGTCTGTATAAGTTTACGGTCGTCTTTGATCGCTTGCAGGGATTTCTTTTCTTCTTCGCGTTTTTTTTCTTTAGAAGATGACGAAGATGATGATGATGATGATTTTTCTTTTTCCTTGCTGCCTGACGATGAACTGCTTGAAGATTTGCTCCCGCTAGATGTTTTACTGTTTGAATTATTGTTGGCTGTGTCTTTGCCGCCACCAGTCCCAGGAGTTGCTAAGAAGCGCTTCCAATTCTTGATAAGCGTTTTCGCCAACGCTATAACCTCTTCATCTTTGCTACTCTTACGTAGTTCATTTACGGTCATGCCAATCCGTGTTTTAGTTAGAATATCCAAATTTATGTTAAGAGATTGTAATGCTTTCAGCAAATCTAGAGCTTGTTCTTGACCCTTAAATAGGAAAAAACGATTATATTTGCATATACAACAGTTTGAGCAGCATTGCTTAAGTAGGCCGGCTTGATATACAAACAGGCGCGCTTTATATATCTTTATGTATTCCGCTTCCAGTTTACATGACGACCATGATTTGTTAACTCCTAAATACTTACCGTGCCATCGTTGGTAGTAATTTTACTCATTTTCTTTTGTATTTTGAAAACTTCCTCCTCTACGCTCATTTTTGTGTTTTTTTTCGACTTGTTGGCGTTGATTTGACTGTATACGTGCAGGAATAAAAATTATATTTATTAACTACTAAATTATTTTCTGAATAAGCTACGATACCTTTTTACCTTTATATTTACTAAGACAAAAAGTGTTTTGAGTCACTTATTAATTTTTTTAGTAAAATTTATCAACTTTCGTGTATTTTACGAAAAATTCTCAACTCCCTTTTCTAGCATTCTTATCGTACAACTGTCATAAATTTTATGCTTGCGCTTGTCTTTCGTTTGTTTTGCCCTAAAACAGGGTCGTTAAATTACGAAAAGCAGAAAATGGAACTTAAAAAAAACAGCGTAGTTTTAAAAAAGGAGCAACTTGGAGAATCTTGTCTTATCCCTATTTTACTGTTGTAGCAATTTTTTATGTCGCCATCTCATAAAATTAATTAACAAAAATATTAATAAAAAATGTATCGTTTTGTTTATAATTCTACTTTTGCTTAATTTGTACAACATTCCAAAACTATACAACAGTTATTTTTTCTTCCATATTTTGCAAGCTTTGCATTCATATTTTTCTTGATTTTTAAAAAAAAAGAAGAGGGTAACAGCCACTTTCGTCATGGTTACACTGTCATAAAATTTTTGCCTATGTTTTCTTGTTATAGTTATTGTCGCCTTATATTAAAGATTAAATGGGACGAAGTAACGTAGTTTTTACATAGATGTCTGTCAAATGGGACTAATAACAGAGTTTTTACAAAAATGTCTGGTAAATGGGTCCATTGAGAGAGATTTTTTATTGTTTTATGGACTGGAAAGAGTTACTAGTGCCCAGAGATGGTCAAATTGTAATTGTAATTGTAGTACCAACAAATTTGTTAACCCTTACCGGTGGATAACCTTAACGCAAATTGATCACATGCCTTTATTTAAAATCTAGAATATATAATTTTTTGCCTAAAACGAAGATAATAATCAAATATTAACAACGTAAAAAATTTATTTTATTAAATTTAAAAATAGAAAAATTTATTTTATTAAATTTTTCTATTCATGATTTCATTCACAAGACTTAGAGGTGAACAAAAGGAGAATATTCCTGATTCAATTTCACAGATAAAGTTTGAAAATATATCTGTGACTAAACAACAGATTCTTGGAAAGAGAATTCTGGCAAGAAAATGGCTTACCTATGCGCGCCCACACTTCGAAAATATGTTTTCTGATATTCGTCATCTGCATAAGTCGACTAAAAATGACCCTTAACGTTCCTACAATAAGGCCAAACACAGAAAACGGAAATGTTGGTTCCCATTATGTTTATAAGGCATATATTATGTGGTTCGCTTGGTCTTGGCCTGGTTTTGCATCTAAAAGTGTCGCCAAGTTCAATTTTTGAACATATGTTCAGACCTTTAATTTCGTTATTATGACCACAGGTTTTGTAGATTATAAAAAGATTCTATTAAATTTAAAACTTTTGCAATGAATGCCTGGAGGAAAGTAATTCTATCACAATGGCGAAATAATTTAAATAAGCCTCAGATGCTATTTACGCGTTCTTATGGTAAGTTTCTCTGAAAGTTCATTCATACCGGCACAACTGTTATTTAACTTTGTTGTTTTATCGTAATATTTTCAGCCGCACCTCCCAAGCGTTTCTATAAGAGAACTTCGGTTCTTTTTAATGATGGTAAATATGAAGTGACTTTAGATCATCGCAAATTAAAAACACCATCAGGAAAATTGTTTGCGATTAAAAGTGAACCTCTGGCAATAGCGGTAGCTACAGAATTCGATCATCAGAAGGAATATATTGAACGTGCTAAGATGCATTTGTCAGCTCTCTGCTTTACCGCTATTGACAATCCCTATAATCAAAGCAAGACAGATTTGGTGAATTACTTAATAAATTATGTGGCCACGGATACGGTGCTGTTTCAGTATGATAATGAGAAAGATTTGCATGAATTGCAATGCAATGAATGGGATCCGATTATTAAATGGTTTAACGAAAGGTACGAAACAAATTTAAAGAAAACTATGGACATATCCCCGCCACAAATTTCAGAAGAGGATAAATCAAAAATATCAAAGTATTTGATGTCACATGAAGAGGACGTTTTACATGGGTTTGTTTTCGCGGTAGATACTTTGAAATCGGTAATTTTGGCTTTTGCCACGATAGATCAACGTCTGCACGTTGATAAAGCAGTCACTTTGGCGAGATTGGAGGAAGAATACCAGTCGAAGTTTTGGGGTCGTGTAGAATGGTCACACGATCTAAATCAACAAGAATCACAAGCACGTTTAGCCGCCGCAGTTTTATTCGTACATCTTAATAGGTCCGAGTATTTTGTGAAAGAAAAAATTTTAATATAAAATTTAAAAGAAAAACGAAGCAAAAATAAGCCTAATCTGCTTAGGCGTTTTTGCATACATTCAAAAAAATAAATTACTTCACAGCATCCAAGCTGGCTTAGCTTTTGATAAAGCGGGATGACAGACAAGAATACAAGTTATTACTTAAATAAACTCAAATTCGGCTTATAAAGGAGAGCAAACTGTAAATGAACATTGGAAACTTCTTTCGGCAATAAAGCATGTAAAAAATTGGGTCGTTATTGATCCATTTTATTTAATGGATACGTTTACTTTTATGTGCCAGGAAGTTATCATGTTATCATTGGACTTAGAAATTATTAAGACCACCTGTATAGGTGAGCAAGGTACAATGAATTTCCTCGAAGTATTTTGAAAGTTACGACTTCGCTTTATGCGGGTAATTGGTCCATTTTCAATACCAAACTGGGTGCAGAAACTTTCAATTTTCTAACAAAATTTGAACTCAGGATTTTTATTTTCACGTCCAGGAGAGTGTCAACAACATGCGCTACATACACGCGCGGACATACAAATCCACAGACATGGCTTAATTAAATCAGAGTTTCATGTTGATCAAAAATAAAATATATATATGCTTGATGGGGTCTCTAAAGCATACTTACTTTTAGTAGTTGCAAACATTATGACAAAATAAGTGTAGATGCCTTCCTTTAGTGTAGGTATAATAATATAATAATTATAGGAATTATAGAGAATATTTGATCTAGAAAAATAGTATATAAGCAATGACATCCTGGAATAAAGATAATTTCTATGAAAACCATGTTCATGTGTTTAACTCGCTTAATTAGGAATACTTCTTGACGAATTAACATTGGCAATAAGAAGTAGTAATCTTGGCGGAAATATCCAAGTAACCTAATAATAAGATTAGCGGCTTTGCTAGGAATCAGTCATTTTCTATATCTGCTATTAAAGGTTTGACACTTGATGTAAGAGATTCTCGGCCCTCGTATTAGTACATTCCAAATAGCTTTAATCTATACATTGGCATAGGTATAAAACCTCAACTTATACTTGTTTTTTTCTTTTTTATTGGTCTTATATCTCATTTTATCTTAAGACGTCTTAAGAAGTCTCTGGTTATGATTTTTGGTTATTGAATTTCTTTTCACTGATAAATTTAATTTGCCTTTAAAGAAAATGGAAATAATAATAAAGAAAAAGAGAGGCAAGTCGTACGTCGAGAATACCTTTGCGTTTTTACACCTCATGAGGATACGCATCATTAACTGCGATCTGATACGAATGAAGATACGAACGAAAGTCTTTAAGTACAGCAACAGGCTGAAAGTCTTTAAGTACTTCAACAGGTTTCTCGGTTTCTCCCACTTTAACAGGAGTGCAAGTTTGATTTCTCACGCTTTAACAGAAATCCAACCTTAATTTCTCATTTAACAGAAGTGATTTTATTTTATTCTCATTCACATAACATCATCGAAGTGTTGCATTTTATCGAAAGCAACTCTGTGCTCTCTCCATTCACACATGGTACTTTTTTCTATAAACCTTGTAAATAAATTAAATTGTTGTGGAGAAAGAAGTTTGACGTAAAATTATTTTAAAAATTTGTATATGTATTAATAATTAGCTTTTTCAAAGATTTTTAAATGAATGGGAAAACACTTTCCGAAATTCAAAGATCGCTTTCATTTAGATCGTTATAGGAAAATTTTCATGTTCAATTGTTTGTTTATGTCCTTAGAAAATCTTTTGCAACGTTAGAGATTAAGTGTTCAAATTGAAGATATTTTGTCGAGCGGTTCTTTATTATAACTGACAATGTTGCACTTATGCGAAGCTTTCAAGTATAAATACACATTCAATCTCAAAGGGTCTGTCACGTATTTCTAGACGCCACAAACTGTTCAATAAAATCATGTTGTCTTATCGGTCCTAATTAGGGCCGTGATCCTAAATTGGCATAAATGGTGCGGGTTATTATATCTTTTATTTTATTCTCTTTGGTAAACAGATCCAAAACGTCTGTAACGAGGAGAAATTGAAAAAGCACTTGCCGTCTATATATATGTATATATATATATATATATGTGTATATATATGAAGGGTGTCCTAAAACTTATGGAAGACTTGAATTAAATAGAAAACAAAATTATCTTTTTTTTCAATTGTAATTTTTTATTGAATTATAATGTACATAAGATAGGGTTATGTGTGGAATAGCATACCGGGCAAATAACTTACACGTCTTTGTTGCTACAACGGTCCTCTTTTATAGGTGTTTTCCATGACCATTTAGCACAGTACTTGGCTGAATTTGATTGATGCAGCTTAGAATCTCCCCTTTCAATACACGAATGCTTGTGAGCTTATTGACGTAGACCTTTGATACAACCCAATGAAAAGAAATCCTAGCCAAGTGATGCAATCTTCCTAAATTTTGCAATTATTCTCCTCACAGTTGACAAAGTTAAATCAATATTTTGACTTGGACGCTGATGGTCGCCAAATCTTTATTGTTTTTTAAATATTGCTCAACAGTGAAAACATGTTGCTCTCCCTAATGCCTAAGCTGTCAGCTGTCAAATTGTTTTTTTTTTTTCTTCATTACCAACATCTTACTACACAAATGGCGGTAAATTCAAATCTTGCGTAAATTACATGTACATGTAATCTCCTTTAAAATAAGGCTCTTCTGGGAAAGCCGGCCTGCGTCGTTTGGCACAATTTTTCTTTCTTTTTCAACTTTCCTGATGAGATCAATAGGTTGATATTGCCTTTTACGCAATCCACAACAGTATAAGACGACTGTGGCAATGGAAGAACAAGAAAGAAAACTACGTTAGGTTGTGTCTGAATCTTTTATACTATTGACGGACGGGGTTTCTGTCTTTTCCATTTTGTGTACACATACTTTTCGATCACCTACAGTATTGACGTGAAAATACAGTAAAAGCTTCTTATTCGCGGGGTATACGTTCCATAAAAATGCCGCGAATACAGAGACCGTGAATACGGAATAGTAATTTATATGGGATTATAGGAGATACGGTCCTAGATGACAAAATAAAAAAAAAATCAAAAAAGTTTTTGAACATTTTGATTAATTATGTAAAGGCTTAGGCAATGGTTTGAAGAATTTTGTAAGTCTTTCTTGCTTGGCAGTTTTTAAAAGGTCCTTCAATTCAGACTGATACGCAGCAGTCGCATTAGCAATTTGCCTCTTCAAAGTAAGACTTCGTTCCATAGACGAAATCGCCCAAACTCATTTGCCATTCTTAAAGCTTCACTAAGACTTTTCAAATCATTTCCAGTGCTTGCTGAAGCCTCTTCTTCAATGGCTGTGAATTCAATTTAACATTTCCTACAAGTCGGTTTCAGTCAAACCTTCATCTTGCGATTCAAACAATTCCTGAATGTCACTTGATTCTATCTGTTCGAACCCATCTTGTCCTATTCCATTCGCGAGTTCGGCTATGTTTGCAGTTGGAACTTGCACAGATTCTTCGTCATTTTCCGCAGTCAGAGCAGGCCACAGTTTTTTTTTAGCATGGGTTCAATGTGTGTGGCTTCAGTTCTTCCAACGATTCTTTTATGTTTACGATGCATCTTGCTATGTCAAATTTCTTCCTGCATTCCATAACATTCATATCAGGATTACATTCCATATTATCCATTACGATTTTGAAGGTTCGTCTAATGTAATAGAGATTGAAGGCCTGGATTATTCCTTGGCCCAAAGGTTGAAGCAAAGCCGGCCTGTTGGGAGGTAAAAAGGTCACTTTTATGTTTGGGCACATAGTTTCAAGTTCGCGAGGGTGACCTGATGCATTGTCCCAAGCTAGAAGTGCTTTAAAGTCTAAATTCGGTTTTTTAAAATAAGTTTCAACTTCAGAAACAAAACAATTCCGGAATCAGTTACAAAAAATCCGCGAATAAAGAAATTTATAGCCGCAAATATGGGAATTGGGTCGCATTTTTTTAGTCCGCGAATAGTGAAACCGCGAATACAAGAAGAGTGAATAAGGGAGCTTTTACTGTATTTATCTTTATGCATTTTAAGTAAATTATAAGTTGCTAAGCGGAAAAGACATCTTTTCTTTGCTTTTGAAAACAGCGATGCTTTCAGTTTATGGGTATACTTATGCAAGCATGATCGCTCTGACCTAATTTCAATATTAACCAGGATGCAAAAATTTCCAATTTGTAGGCGATGCCTTTGTTTTCCCGACTGGAATGATATTTATTGTGGACACACAGACAGACAGACATGTTTCGATTCAATTCAATATCAGGACTATATACGAATATATGTGACAGGCTGTAGTAAACATCCTTCTGACGTTTTTATAAAATACCTTGATATGACTCGGATTGTGAAACCGATCACCAAGAACATGTATACAAATACATGATAAGATCTCTAAAATTTGTTTCTGATGTTTTTATAAATAAATAAAAGTACCTTGCTCTTAGGTTGTGTGCATAAAAAAATAAAAATTAAGTGAGAAAGAAGATTTGGAATTTTAGAAATAAAAGCATACGGTATTAAGAATATGAGTATTTTTTTTCTATTCTTCGGCAACGCAGGACGGTTCCTTTTTCATTTTAAAACAAAAAACTGCGCCGTTTTGTTTAATGCTTTTGAATTTGTTAAAAATTTATTTGTAATGCATGTCAGTTTTTTCGATTTTTATTTATACTTTTTTTTTCTTGAATTTTTTCGGTAGTTTTTTTTATTTTTTTTTTAATGAACTGCACAATTCTAATGGCCTGACGTCTGATATTCAGCATATTATTTTGAAAAAAAATTATTTCGTTTGAATTTTTGTGTCCTGAATGCATGAAAAAAAAAAATTAATTTAATTTTCATTTTACTTTTTTTCTTTTTTTTTTTTGTTTCTTTTTTTAATGAATTTATTAATATAATGTTGTTTTTGTGTTTAATAATGGAATTGGTTCTTTAAAGTGTAAACGCGAAAGTGTGCCAAGCATGAGATCATTAAAGAAACTGAGGCGAGGCTTTTCAAAAAACGAACAAGTATATAGTTAAAATTGCGAATCAAGTTCACTACCTAAGGATAGATTA